GCGAATAGTTCAATTTGTAGAAGAAGCAGTTTGTATACATACATGATAATGTCCTTATAATATCAGAAACCGTACTCATTGTCAGTATATCGTATACTGTGAGGTGAATAAGATGTTGCTCCACGCGTTCCTACACCTGACGTACGATCAAGATCAATTGCTTGATTATTTATTTAATCATAATGTTCTCCGTCGGAGAATAGTATGTCTTATTTTCTTCATAACTTTTTAACAAACAATGAGCGACGGGAATGGGCAATGACCTTGACCTCCTTGGGGGGTCAAGGTCAACATCAAGGTCAAACGGAAGTTGATTGGCGGGTGCTATCTAAGGGTAAATATTTACCTCAAAATATTTTATTAATATATCTACTTATGATATGCTAAGAAATATTCTCAGTATATACTGAGTAGGCTTCTAGAGCAGACATAGAAACATCCTCCGTACATTCTCAAAATATCGTGGTACGTATTTCGAATATTAATGGAATATACACAATCTACTCGTACGTTTGCGATATACTGCGTATATACTCAGAATCTACCTGTGCTGTATGGGTAAGATATTACCTTACCCAAACCATGTCTGAGGTGTGGAGTGGATCTTGCTTCACGTAGAAAGTTGCAAATCCATGTGGAATCGTATATGTACTGTAAAGTACATGCAACACATAATAAAACTCACATGATTATATCACTCTGTATACGAACTATCTTCACAGGTCTAGAAATATCTACATCCCAATTAAAAACCGTAACGTAACTTTAATCAACTTTTCTAATGTTTCAATCATTGTCGTCACATAAGAGTCGAATTATAAAATATAGGCATACGTGTGAGCACTGTGGTTGCTGGGCTCGAACTGATCTGTTAGTCATGTCTTAGGAACAATACAAGGTAATATTGCGAACTATACAGTTTTGATTACACAGTCATATATTACATTTAAATATTCCGTGTCTGTTAGTAAATTTAACGCGTTATCGGTTTTCTTGATAAAGAACGTTTCGACAACTTCTCTTTTTCTCCTGAGGCGCTCGCTATGCAAAATTCTTGGTTTCAATCAATTGAACTCGTGATCATGTAATACGCGGTGTTCACTACCTACAGAGTGACAGCTTTCGTCTTTTTTGATGTCATTTCTATGTTCTTCAAATCTGGTCAGTAGGTGTCATTTCTTACGAATATTTACTGTAATATTAAAAGCTATAAATATCTGTAAAATCTACTTAAAAATGCATAATTTTATTTAAAAACGTTACGTCTTTGAGACTCAATATGTGATACTTGAATTTTTTATTATACCCTTAAAAGTTTTCTAAAATAATTATATATAATCTGTTAGCGACAAGCGTTAGAAGGAACGCGAATAATGTATATGTATGTATATTCGAACGACGACGTAGAGGTGACAACCTCAGATATACTAAGTGTAGAGGGGGGCAAAACCAATATACCGAACGACTGTCGATGACCCGAGAATTCACAGAAACCGACAGTTACTGATCCGACTCCGATAGCTGTACATCTTAAGACAATAAAGATACAAGTTACATCAATTCTGTACATAATCTATAAACTGAATAAAAACCAATAAAAACAGGACCAATAAAAAATTTCATTACCGTGATGACAGACTTACAGATGATTCCAATATAACGCGTTACAAATTTTGTTCTCGAAATTGTGTTGAAATTGCTTTATGCTTATGATACCTTCTAAGATTTACCATTTCGAAAATGGCCACATTTAGGATACTACATATAACAATTAATGAGCACACTTTGTAATTCTGTTACAGCTTGTTCATGTTCTACTTTGCGACAAACAGGACGTTGACGTCTTCAATGCGCAATTTTTCTTTTTTCAATATATCTCACAAATTACAATTCAACGTAAAAAAGCAAAAACCATACTTCGCATACGTTAAATACATCTTTGCATCTACATATACATACATTGAGAAAAAATCCGATTAAATATAATCGGATAATCCAATTACATGATAACAAACGGATATATCCGATTAAATTGTATATCCGATGAAAAATTTGGTCGGTTTTTCAATGAAATTTCATCGGTAATTGCATTTCATCGGATAAATTTCATCGGATATATCCATAATTTAATCGGAAAACGTAATCGGAAAAATTAACCATCGGACATACTATTTAATTGGTTTATCCGATGAAAATTTTTCTCAGTGTACAATTAAATAATCGGAATATACCCTCACGCAAAGCGATGCATTATTTAAATTGTAGAACAGAAGAGTTAAGAATCTTAAATGTTTCATCAAATGTTGCGTAAATTCTGTTTATGCAGATAAAAAGAAAAAGATACACGTAAGGTCGATCGGAGTAAAACCGCGTTATCGAGTAGTCATCGAGTACT